GATTGTGAGATGTTTTGTGCTGAAATTATCAAACCATTGTAATTTCACAGCCCCTTGCATGAGCAGCAAGCTTTGTTTCAGCAGAAGATGCAGCTGTTCAGGACCGCTGGGCAAAAATAAATATTGGTAGCAATATAAGTGATAAACAAGCAGTTACAGTAAACTAGTCAATAAACCATAAAAACAACAGACAAAACAATCAACATGAAGCTGGTGAAATGACATCAGTATTGCATGTCATATTATGTGAGGGGTGCCTCCATTCTTTTCCTGTCATCGGCTTATTGCTTGTTGGCCTGATGACGGATCCAGTACTGTAAATGTCACTCTGGAATTCACTAAGACATAAAAGGTTTAGGGGCAAATTCACTGTTCATTCAGGCAGCCTGACACAAGTCCAACAATAAAGAGGACCAGAAGTGAGACTGATTTTGTGGGCGGCAATAAAAGCAACGAAAACAATTCATTCATTACTTAGGTGTTGTGTAATCTTTGAGTCAGTAAATCAAGACCAGCAAACATTGTTTACATCTATGTTGAATGAACACATTTGTAATAAAAGTTAAAATATTACGAGTTTTGATGATTGCTGATCTGACTTGGAGACAGGTACATAGTTGTTAAATGGGTCCAGTAAAGGTTTGTTCTTTCATTTCACTGTGTTACTATGTCATGATGTGTTTTCTGCATTGAAACACTCTTCTACATGTTGTGTTTTAGTGCAGAAACTTCCAAATCTCCCAGGAAGCAGGAAGCTGTAGTAAACAGTCTAAATCTGTCAGTAGACACAAGTGATTCATATAATAAAATGTCAAAAGGGGCTTTCTTTCAAATGACATGAACCGAGATTTGCTATTTATTAAGGACTTTCTTTGGATTTGTGAGGTCACTCAGAGAGTAGGAGGCTATAGAGACAGTTTCATATTGAAACATATTATTTAAAAGCTCAGATATTATTGAAAATCCTCAATCTTAGTCACATAGAAAAATAAATGTTTATAACAGGTTTGTTAAAAATTGAGTGCTTTCACAAAATCGTCTGTGCCTATGTTAGCATGTGTCATAGGTTTTTACTCCGGTTTGTTATAAATCATGGGGAAATAACAAACTCTGGGCTTGCTTGCTGGTTTCGACTGTAAACATATTGAAAGCTGGCACAAAATAGTGTCTGTTGGCAACCTAACTCCAGAAATATTGATGACTGCTGTAAATCATCCTTTCAAAAATCCATGAGTCAAACCTTGGCAAAGACACATAGGGAGATCAAGTATGAGAACAACTGCAGGAAACAGTTGTTCTCATACTGTGTCTTGTGTGCGTGTTAAATACTGCATGTGACCACTCATGCAATTCTGCGCTCATGTCTATGATTCCTGCAAGGAGAGCGATACCTCGCTGGATGAGCGGGCAGAGCTTTCGGCTGCTGGATGCTGTTTTGTAAGGATGATAAATGACTGAGCTTTGGTGTGCAGAGCTGTGAAACCCCATGTAGCCTTGGAGCAAGATCTTCTTGTATTTAGTGTTTTGGAGGAAGAATATATCGGAAAATTAGTGTTTGCCTCATCGGCTACACGGCAGCACAAGTAAAACACAATGTCACTGTGCTGAACAAGCTAAAAACATCGTCCCTTATTAATGATACGGCACCCCTGGTGTCGTTGCCCACCTCTCAATTTTAAATACACGTAGACGTTGAGGCCTATCAGGAGGGGCTATGCGCTTACCTGCTGCTCTCTGGCAGGTAGCTCCATGCGCTCCTGGGTTTTAAATGCACCTTAGAACACACATGCATCAACATTACAATGAGCGGGTGGAGGGAGGTTTGGAGTCTTCACACACCCCCATTCTCTGCGGCCTGCTGGAGCGGGGGGGCTGGGAGGAGGAGTTGGCCATCCAACTGGGATCTGGAGTGTGGGGCCTCCCTGCTGCTGCGGAGTCGGGGCGGTCTGCCTCTCCCCACTGCAGGGAAAAGGGTAACACCACCTGGGTCTGGGTGCAGTTCCCCCTCCAGGGGCAAGGGTACCTAGACCCGGTTTGTAGAGTACGCTTGGGGAGTGTGATCGTGTGTACAGCGTCTCTTTATGTCTGTCTCCACGTTGGTTGAGTGTGGAGTAAGTGCATATGAAAGCATGAGGGTGGGAATGGATGTTTGTATCTGTGTGTGCCTGTATGTCTGTGTCTATATGTCAGGTTGGGTATCAGACGCCACCTCTCTGGGGACATCTCAGGCCCTCCAAGGTATGGAGGCCTATCTCCCCCCACCACCACTTCCCCTGCTGGTGGCAGACGCCCTCAGACATCAGTGCGTTGGTGGTTCTTGGTGTCCGGGGATGGGCGTCCAGGCTCACTCCTTGGTGGCTGCTTGTCGGGGCCTGGAGCCTGGGGCTTGCTCGGGCCACTTCGGGGATGGGGTGTCCTCGGCCTCTCGGCCTGGGGCTCGGTCACTCTGGTGCAGCTGGCTGCCGGCGGAGCTCACGGGCACGTCACTGCAACCCCCCCTGGCTTCTGCTCCGCGGCTGCTGAGTGACCCCTCATCTGAGACTCTCCTCAGCTCTTTCTGGGACAGTGGCGCGGCTGCCCCTCTGTTGGTCTTCCTTGGTCTCTTGAGTTCTGGGGGCCTCTGGATGTCTGGAGTTTCTCCTCCATACTTGCTTCATGCCCTGGAGGACGGGGCTGTGGCTCCTCACACCCTCTAGCAGATCGTTACATGAAGGAACCTTTTAAATACAAGCGCGCTCACGCTCACAGGTGTACACACGGGGACTCACACACACAAACTACACCCTTTTGGGCTCCTTCCTCAAAGCACACTGTGCACTGTCGATCTTACGTGCTGCACAATAATGTTTATTATTTAGTATTTACTGTTATATTCCCATAAATCATCATGATGTTGTTTATTGTATTGCTCTCGTTTTCTTCTGCTTGTTTTCTTTTTTCTTTCTCAACAGGTGATCCAGGTGATTGATATATGTATTTTTTTCTCAGCTTATTCTGTTGGTTTTTGTTTTTTGCCCTTTATCCTCGTCCCTCTTCTCCGCAGTTTTTCCCCCTCTTCCTTTCTCCCATTTCTTTTCCTCATTCAAGTCTGTCCCGTATCTAGCAAGTGAAAATAAAAAATAAATAAAATAAACAAATCAAATAGAATCAAATAGACCATCCCAGGCTGGGATGGTCAATTTGGTAAAGTAAATAAAGTAAATCCGTTGGGCATCTTTCTTTGCCTTTAGACAATAATTCTGATGGCAAAAGAACCAAACGGGACAGGCAAAAAAACCCCAACATTTTAATGATACGGCAGTAGCTCGCCAGGTTTAGATATGTACATCATGTTGGACGTTACTGTAAAAGATTTGTCTTGCATTAGTAGGCAGCTTTAATAAATCAATATTTAGCAATCAATAGTTAAGCATCAGTGAGATGGACTGCACTGCCCTAGTTTTTTAATGTTTTTGCTTTTGCAACTTTTTGCAATTTTCTTTCATTTTTCCTCAGTACATTTTGAATGCCTACCTGTTTATTCCTCATCTCAGCATTTTGTGCTTACTGTACAAAGTACTTCTTTGTCAGCAATGTTCTGTTTTCTTTCCCTTTTTCAGATGTTGTTTACCTACATAACCACCTCTTCAACTCTTCTGTCTATTCATATCCCTCCTCTTCCCATTTTTTTTTCTTCAGATGTCAAATTACAGTGAATGAGAAGGTTTACAAGCACATAAATATTTATATCATTACAAATGCATCTTCTGGCTCCTCTGTCTGTTTGCTTTACTGGAGAGTCAGCTAAATCTCTATAGCTAGAGAGTGCATGGCCCCGAGTCCTATGAATAATTGAAAAAAGGTACTTGAAGCTACGTAAGTTACACACAGTTCAAAGCTGTCAGAGTTTCATAGATGACTTTTAGATCTGTTGTGTTACTTTATTAAGAGTATTTGATTCTGGTCATATATTATGCATTATACTGAGATATTCCCATAGTTTAAACATGATAACATAACAGTTCAGTAAAAACTTACTTAAAAGTTGGGGAATAGTGTCAAAAAATGTATCCACGCAGAGATTAAACAAGAAAAGACCGAAGGGATTGCTGACAAATCGATGTGTTAGAAGCTATTCTGACAGATGTGGTGAAAAGTATTGCACTCAACACAGGTTAATTGACATCCTTGAATTGCCTTATCCAATCATGACAAGCATGACAGCAGGCTAGTAAGGGCTTAAGTTTCTCCACACATTGATGTTGACGTGTGCACAGGCGCAGGAGCAATACTCTGAATACTGTACTGTGTGTATAGGAACCTTGCAGAATAGAGGCCTTTCTTGACCTTTCCAAAAAAACAGAGTTGCTATGTGTGCTCTAAATGTAAGTTACTAATGTTTAGCAGTTTTATTTACTAGCTTACTGCTACCAATAGTGACCAAACCCAGTATCAAGATTAATTCCAAAGCTAAACAGCATTTCTTTTTGATTTTCAGGTGTTATTAAATTCAGAGTGGATTACTATACTACACACCAGCGTAGCCAACACAAGCTTTAGGTGTGCGACACCTGCTCAGACTGGCCAGACAAACTGCACATCCCCAAAAAATAAAAGTCACAAATCTGATTACTGATATTGGTCCATAAAATCACAGAAAGTGCAAAAGACTGATTTAGCAGCTTTAGTTGATGAAGCAATGGACACATGCCTCTTAAACTACCTCTTGTAAAATTATAAAGTAATATTTAATATTTTTAGGCTTTCTCTCATTCCCTTTCATTCTACAACTACCTGCACTTGATTACAAACTTACATTTCTATAAATGTTCGTAAAAATCAAGCTGAGCGTCACTTCGGGCAAGTCATGTAGTCATGTATCATATACTGCATGGGACATAGGTAGTTACAACAAGTGAAGGATGTCAGACCTTAGTCTATACATATTCCATATATATACTAGAGTATATGTAATATATTATCCATCCTTAGACTCTACATATATTTGTTGGGTCTTACAGACTATCGGTCCAAAGGAGGGCTGGCAGGTGTACAGCTCAGCCCAGGATGCTGATGGGCGCTGCATCTGCACAGTGGTGGCACCAGAACAAAGCCTGTGCTCTAGAGACGCCAAGAGCAGACAGCTCCGCCAGCTACTAGAGAAGGTAAACACACGATTTTACCACACACCTGCACACACACGTTGTTTTATAAAGGATAGGAATAAAGACGTAACAAGTCTCTATAAGCTTTATTTTCCTTTCATCTCCCGATACAAGGTATTTTATTGTGAAATTTAACTGAAGTGGGGTGCTGCTAGGCCTTTCCAGGATTTTTTTTTCTCTTTTCAACAATAGCCCATTACAAATTTCAGGCACACACAGGCTCACCAGGGAAACCCATCAAAGTGCCTTTCAGTTAGCTGCGCTGGCTGGAAAGAAGGAAAGAACAGAAGACGTCATATATTTACTTTACAACCATATCATGGACTGTAGCTAGCGTCTCAGTTTGTGCATTGGAACCCCCGTTCCAGTTTTAACGTGGCTTCTTTTATTCTAGGTGCAGAACATGTCTCAGTCCATTGAGGTGCTGAACCTGCGCACTCAGAGGGATTTCCAGTATGTCATGAAGATGGAAAACCAGATGAAGGGTCTGAGAACCAAGTTCAGACAGATTGAGGATGACAGGAAATCCATCATAGCCAGAAATTTCCAGGTGTTTTATTTTTACCTGGTTAATGTTCAGTGGATCTTTGTGTTTTGTTTTCATTTATGTGAATTAGTTGTTTTTATGCCTTTCTGTACCATGAATCTGTTAAAGTGCAAACAGGCTCAGTATCTTTTCTCATGCAAGTCTTTACATAAGTTCAATCTAACAGTTCTTTTAACTTAATATATTTCAAAGAAGAGAAAACCAAGAAATACTAAGTCATGAAAGGGTTTACTAGTTGAGTTAATTGACACTGTGAATAAAAGCCACTGTTGTCCGAGGCTTAATTTAGTGCAGTTGGCTAATAACTACCCTACAGATTCCCTTGAATTTTCACCATAATAATAAAAATGTATAGCATATTTACCACAAACCCTTCAGAAATCATTCAGAAAGGGTTCAAATCTTAGATTTCTTTTCGCTGCTGTCACTGCCCCGTGTGGATTGTACTGGACAGCTGGTAGGGGAGTAGGATTATTTCTGGTGTGGCAAATTGTCTGACACCAAATGAACTGAAAGATTCGCAACAAGCAGCTGGAAAATCAGAAATTGAGCTGTTGGTTGACCACCAACAAATTCCAATGTCATTGTATCATTGCAAATAGGAAATTGGTCCATTTCCTTGTGTTTAATAGTACCAGATGTCAGTGCTAGCATTACTTTATTCTTTCATGTAAGGCTGACTGTTCTACTACAGTACAATAAAACTCTACCATGGACATTTCCTGACATACAGTAATTTCGTTTCTTCCTAACTTTTGCACCTATCCGCGATCTCCCACCTCTTCCCCTTTGTTTCTCATCTCTGCTGCTGTCATTTCTGTAGGAGCTTAAGGACAAGATGGACGAGCTGAAGCCGTTGATCCCTGTGTTGGAGCAGTATAAGATGGATGCTGCACTCATCTCTCAGTTCAAGGATGAGATCAGAAACCTGTCTGCGGTGTTGACAGGCATACAGGAGGAACTTGGGGCGTATGACTACGATGAGCTTTATCAGCGAGTCCTGCGACTAGACAGTCGGCTCCGCAGCTGTATGGGCAAGCTGAGTGAGTAGTGTGCACTGCATTTTGCTGATAGTACAAAAAGTTTGAATTCTTCTTGTTATCACAATAAACTAAAATAAGAAGCCACATGTGTACTGAGAAAACTGTGCTCATCTAAAAATAATACTACTGTGTGTGGTAAAAACAATGGCATTAGTATGTTGTAACAAGTTCACATAGGAGTATTGATGTTATAGGTGTTGCCATTAGGGCTGCCACAAACGATTATTTTGATAGTCGACTAGTCACCGATTATTTTTGCGATTAGTCGACTAATCAGATCATCATCCATTGGACGTACAGCGTACAGCTTATTGCACCAGCAGCATCTGGTCTTATATAACTATCATTAGCTTACAGCTTGAAGTGTTTGTGCTAACTAAAAATAAAGACAAGATGGTAGTTTATTAATTTTTAATGAAATTTGCAGATTGTTTCGGTGAAGTTTAATAAACTCCTTGCTTTCTAAAATATAACAGGACACCAGAGTATATTCTCCAGCGTCTCACACTTCTGATAATCAGCTGTCTGCTTGACAGTTTTAGCTGTGCAAAAACTATAACTTTAATCTCAGCCAAACCGATTTACTCAGGAACAAATAAAATACTAAAAGCCAAACAATAACATTTTTAAGTTATCTAAGTGACTTATATATATGTTTAACCTGACTAGCGAAAGACGGCGGTGGGTTTGAAAACGATTTGCCGGGAGTCCGGTGTTCTCACGGCTCTAGTTAGCCTTGCCCCCGCCTAGCTAACGAGCTAGTGGGTAACAGACGTCTCCGAAAACGTCAGAGCGCTTTTGAAAATATGTGGTGTCTTGATAAACTGAGCAGATATTTGAGGTTTACACAGCTAAATTCAAGCCTGAAAATATGTTAAACGTTTATTTTGTGACCCAGAAAGAATAATAAGAGTAAAGTTAAAACTAACTAGCTGCCGCCATTGTTGACAACTGCGCTGGGCTGCGCTATGAATTCTGGGACACAGCTTCTTCTTCTTCGGGGTTTAACGGCAGCTGGCATCCTTGTACATGCAGTGCTGCCATCTTCTGTTTCAGTCCGTTATTACACTCTTAAATCCTACTACCGGTACTCATTCCTGCGTCCTTTGTGATCTTACAAAGCTTCAAACGATGCGTCGACTATTAAATTAGTCGTCGACGATTTTAATAGTCGACATAATCGTGACTAGTCGACTAATCGTGGCAGCCCTAGTTGCCATCATGGTGTACTTGTGAGTAATCCTGCTAAAGAAATTAACCACCTAGGGAAATGCACAGTGCTGTGCTTAAGTCTAGAGCCATCGCTCATTTCTGTGTATGTTGCTAGGACAACAGGAAAATAGTGCAGCAACTTATTCAAACATGTGGAAAACAAAAGTAACTAGTTCTATTTGGTATGACCACCTTCATTTTTCATCACAGTCTGAACTGTCTTAGACAAGTTTTATTGTAACTTCTTTAAGTAGTCTTCTTGAACTAATACTGTTACTGTTTATGAGAAAGACCCGAGATGCAAGCACAGGCTGTGATGCGAGTGAACTTTATTCCAAAAGGTGAAAATGCAAGCAGAAGCAGAGAATGTCCAGGACAGAACTAAGAGCACAGCCCATTCTCACTCCTGACGCATAATATACCAACGATTTGTCACATTCCAAGGCGTTCCATGGAAATGCGAAAGGTGACCTTCTGTGTTCCTATGCTACGCGCTGGATTGTGGATGAAATCGAACAGAATGACACTCCCGCAGTAAAACACGTTCCAGCCGTGTAACCCTAACCATAACCTTATCCCTAATCTTAACCACCACATTAATCGTGTTAGATAGTGTTTTCCAAAGTGATTTAAGTAACAGAAACGTAAATGTGTAGATTCATTTCTCTCATGTTTCCTCATTTTTCCGAACTCGTAAAATAGGGACCTGTTGGGTGACCGTAAGCGCAATATACCGATGATTTGTCACCTAGCGTAAAATGTTACGCTTTGGGAGTGAGAACGTGTTGACAGACTGACAGAAATCAGAGACAAGATACTGACAGGGAACAGAGGGAACATACGGGCAGGGATGACTAGACTAGACTAAAGAGAAGAAGCTCAGAACCAAAACCGAAGAACTAGGAAAATTTTACCAGAATACATAACCAGAATAAACAAGAACATAAGATAATGTTAATTAATACAAAACACACAGTTACATTGTGTGTTTTCTTATGCAGACATGCTTTTACAGCAGTTTTAGAATCACTGTCATGTTGAAAAATGAAGCCTTTACCATTTAGATGTTTTCCAGATGGATCAAAATCCAGCATCACTTGCCTGCATCAATGATTGCATCAGTTCTGAAAAAATCCCCAAGACCACTGAAATGCAGCCCAAATGACAGAGCCCCCACGGTGTTTTACAGATAGCTGTACCTCTCTTCTGATCTCCTCCATATATATTGACAACATATTGAACCAAAAATGTGGATTCATCACTCCATCACCTGTTGCGTGAGATTTTCAGTCCAGTTTTTGTGTAACGTGGCATACTGCGTTTTCCTTCATTAAGAAAGGCAGTCACTCTTCCACTGAGACCATTGGTGATGAGGCTTCACCAAACAGTAGATGGATCAGCTGAACTGCCAGACGCAACTTGAGGGTTGTATCCTGAAACCCTAGAAAATCAGTGAGGTGCAGGAAATGGACTGAAAATGAGTGGGGGGAAAAAACAGCCAATGTCCAAAGAAAACCTCCCGAAGGCTTTAAGAGAATCTGGATTAAATTGTTCAAGATCACTTAAAAATGACACAAACATCTGGCTCTTTGGAAGCAAAATATATAAAAAATGAGCAGTGGCTTTACACTTGCACACAGTTTCACAAAGTACTTTAATATAATATAATTAATATAACCAAAGCTTCAAAATCTTTGAATGTCCAACTTCAGATACTTTTACTATTCTTTGCTTATTTCTTGTTACATCTCAGAGTGACAAATGTTGCTCTGAGATATAACAACTGTGAGAAATAAAAAACCTTGTGAATGTCAGTGTGTTTCATCTAGAATTCATGCTGGTGAAAGACATTTTTTAAGGACTGCTGTAATGTTTGGCCTTTAACATTAAATGTTCTAAAAACTCTAACTGAGGGAAGTGAGAGTAATGTGCCATGCCTAATTTCTTCCTAATGGGCCAAAAAGGAAGCACTTTGTGCCTTTAATATCTACAAGCACAGTTTCTCCCGGGAAGTTAAGCTATTAATTAGTGCAGTAGGCAACATTCAAATTACATGGTGACTTTCAGGGATCTGTTTTCTTATGCTTTGAGTGGGGGGGCAAAGTGAACAAGCAGAAGATGGATTTCTTAATATGATGGCAATTTTAATGACACTTGTTCCGTACTTGAAGATCAACCATCCATTACTAATTGTGCTTAAATCAAGCCTGTTATAACTTACCAAAATAACAGGTGGAGGAGGTCTGCATAGAGAAAGAGATGTGTACATTTTTAATCTTCAGATACTCTAAAGAACTGTGCACTAGACATAAGTTGAGTTTCCTTTAGCTACAAACATCAGTTGTGTAATTCTGTTTTAAGTTAAATTAAGCATCTTGCTTCCACTGCTACCTTAGTATGCACGGAGGGCACACTCTGTGGTGGAACAGGCATGAAATTGGCTTCAGAAATCTAGTTAGAGACAAAAAGCACCACAGCACATCTTATCGCTGCATTTCTTTATTAACAGCGTGTGGGAAATTAATGAAAATCACTGGACCTGTTACAATAAAGACATCTGGAACCCGGTTTGGGGCATGGATGACTGATCCTCTCGCATCAACCAGAAACAACAGGGTGAGTTATGAGAGCATGAGGGTGCGATGCATTTAATATCAGCGATGTGCTCTGTTGTTAAAGTGGGCAGAATATCACAGCAATTTAAGAAGAGGCTTGCATTTATAGATGGGGTTTTGATTTATTTATTTATTTTTGGGAGGGGTGATTTTAAAAAGATGTACGATGTGGGTTTTTTTAATAATATCAAGAATGATTCAGATTTGATTTTGTATTGCTGATGGCTGATTCTAACCATCTGTCCTCTCCATCATCTCTTGTTAGGTTTGGTATATGGACAGCTACAGCAATAGCAAGATTGTACGTGAATACAAGACAATGGAAGACTTTGTAGCAGGGGTGGTTTCTCGAACCTACAGCCTCCCCTTTAAATGGGAGGGAACAAATCACATGGTCTACAATGGATCGCTTTATTACAACAAGTACCAGAGCAACATCATTGTCAAGTATAACTTCGAGACGGGCAGCGTGCTGGCCCAGCGAGCTTTGGAATTTGCCGGCTTCTACAACATGTACCCATATACGTGGGGGGGATACTCTGACATCGACGTCATGGCTGATGAACTGGGAATGTGGGTTGTGTACGCAACCAATCAAAATGCTGGAAATGTTGTCATCTCTCAGATCGACCCTGACACTCTGCAGGTCCTAAAGACTTGGACCACCGAATATTCCAAAAGGAACGCAGGTGAATCTTTCATGATCTGCGGGACACTTTATATTACTAATTCTCACCTGTCGGGAGCAAAGGTTTACTACGCTTACTCTACCAAGACTTCAACCTATGAATACATAGACATTCCTTTCCACAACCAGTACTTTCACATCTCCATGCTCGACTACAATGCCAGAGAGAGGGCGCTGTACGCTTGGAATAATGGGCATCAGGTAATATTTAATGTGACCCTTTTTCATGTCATAAAAACTGATGATGATTCTTAAGTGTGATACTTTTCAACTACAACTACAGCACCATCGTTTGTGATACAAGGACCTCCTTATTGACCATGTTTTCTTCTATTTGAAATGGACTGTGGTTTCTTTACTTCGCATTACTTGAACTTTTCTAATTTTTGCCTCTGGATTCTTGGCTGACTTGAGCATGGACTTTAATGCTTTACTGAAAAACATGCTATACAGTTTATACACATTTCCGTTGCTGCTGATCAGACTAGTATGCCTTATTTGCTAAGTGTCAGGTCTGCCAGCACAAGACGCTTTTGCATGAATGTTAACATTTTGTCCACAGTGATTTGCTATGACATGACTGTGTTTTGTTGCAAAATTGTTACTTGCTTTACATACAGTGTTTGCTTTCTTTGTCTTATTAAAATTCTATTTAAAAGTATTTAAACCTTGAAAGTAACGTATTAATGATTGTAAAATGTAGTTGCCATTCTTTTAAAGATGGCCCTGTAAGATATTATTGTTATGTATGTCTCTGTGGAAGAACATTTGTATTTTTTATAAAACCAAAACCATGAGACGATATCGGCGCATTTTCATTAAAACGAATTATTGTACATTTCATTCAAATTATTTTGTCTGCTAAAAATGAATATCGCCCCTGATCTGATGAAGAAGCAGTCAGCACCCTAGTCTAGTCATTCGGCTTATTCCAATCAGGAAACAATGCATCCCACAGTGGAAGCCATTTGCCTTGTTTGGTTTGTGTCCATCATAGGCATGCAGTATTCATATTAGCATATGAGCACTCATCTAAAAGAGTTTGAGGTATGCTGCAGATGACTCTCCCTTTTGAAACCCAACCTGTATCATCTTAAACAGGACAATTTGATCAAATGACTTCTCCTAAAAGGTGATGGAAAAATAGAAGTATAGTACTGCACACAAGTCTTAACCTTCCTGCCTTCTTGGGACCTTTTTGTGCCACTGCTATGTGTTAAATGGCTGCCATTTCCACTGTGTTCAGTGGAATATAACCAAACTTGCCACAGGATAGTTTTTACCTGTCAATGTTAATATTCCAGTGTGAATTCCTTAAATCAGCCTAAAATGGCTGAGCAGCAGAAATCCCCACACCCATCACCCTGGGGACCATTTTCTGCCCATTGACTTCCATTATAAACGCTATTTTTCAACCCCAAATTATCATCATATGATTTTATTTTTTCTTCTTTTCTTGGATGTCAATGAAGACTCAGGGCCTTGAAGTTTTAATTTTTAAATTGCAAAAAAAATGCAAAAAAAATAATGGCAGGTCAAAATGTATGTTGGTGCCAATCTTTGGTCCATCTAAAGGCCTACTTATAATGACAATCACATATTACTTCAACTGGTTTTTTGTGGAAATATTTAGTTTCGTTTTTTGGTTTTTGGGGCTTATAACACAGGGCGCTCATGTAATAACACTGGGATTTGAAGGGTTAAAACAACGAAAATATAATTAAAACTTTACATGAATATTTCAGGGAGAAGTAGTTTTACAAGGTTGGCTAATTTAAAGTGGAATAAAATATGGATATATGGTCTTTTTATGGCGTGGCTGAGAATGGTCCCTAGGGTGATGGGTGTGAGTTTTTTAAAGGATGGCAGGAGGGTTAAGCCGTACCTCATTTCTTTATACTGTATTTTTTAAATATACATGGAAATACAGAGTATAAGGCAAAAACAGTTTGTACAATTCTTAAAACCTTGAAATTCAACGACCATCTTTATTCTTTATATTCTGAACTTTCTTAGTCTGCTTTCTTGTTATTTCTTTAAGTAGTCTTCAGAAACAGTTCTCCAAGCTTCTTGAAGGACATTCAAAGCTTTCCTTTGGATGTTGGTTCCCTTCTGTTCCTTTCTATGTCAAAATGATCCCACACTACTTCAATAAAGTTGAGATCCAGGCTATGGGGAGGCCAATCCATGACTCTATTGTGTGTTTTTCTAACCAGGTATGTTTTGTTATCAGCAGTGTGTTTGGGATCATTGTCATGACTAGAAGAGTAGAATTTTCAAGTATCTGCGCTTTATTTGAGTAGTTTTTCTCTGACAACTTTTTACTTTCACTCCCTAAATTTTTAAACAAATATCTGTACTTTCTACTCCTTATATTTTCAAAATGAGCTAGTTACTTTTGGTTTAACAAATTTGCAGGGAGTTATTGTTTCACATCACTGAGAGCCTTCAAACATGAAACCGATTTGAGCCTAAACAGAAACACATGAAAGGTAGTCCTGTTTGTATATTAATCACCAGGGTATGTCACATAAAGACAAATGACGTGTTGATAAACTGGAAATGTAAAGCTTACATGTAAGTCCTCATGGTTTTAACTCAGATATTGAGTCTGTAAATTTGAACCTAGTTTTTCATATTGTGAAACATGCTGCAAAGCAAACTGAGGTAGATCAACTGTGTGCAGGTTAGTGCAGGATAAACAGGGTAGTTTGCTGTACTGTGATGGATTTAAAGTAAAGAACAGTGTGTGACTGAACAGCTGCCTCTTCTTCTCTCATTCTCCCCCCTCCCTCTCCTGTTGCTACTTCAATCGTGAAACTGATCAATGATCAGCTGATCGGCTTTTCTCTCTTGTTTGTTTATCGCCTACTTTGCGCCAGAAAGAAGAAACCAGCGGATGTCGCGCTAAACAACAGCAGCATGTTTAAGCTTGATCAGCTGTTGTTAGAATTTATTTAATCTTACTTTCTAGTATCAGCTGATGTTTGTTGGAGCCACAGCTGTAAAAGCTGCTGGTCATGATGTCGGTTTGGTTATCTGGTGAGAGGGAAACATGAAGATGAAACCAGGAGATGTCCTTACTGAATCAGAGCTGTGATGGAGAAACAGGTTTACCTTTTGGGTGACATGAATGAGTTGAAGGGAAGTTATGAACTGTTTCTGAGAGACAAATAACACCAGGATCCTTTTTCTGTGTAGCTGACAGCTTGTAACTGTGCAGGGGCGGGTCTAGCAAAGTGTTGCCAGGGGGGCAGGTAGGGCATTAACAGGGAGAGGGGGCACAAAGTACTTTTCTTTCTTATTCTCATTTAAAATGTCTCGCTTTTAAAAAATAATTGAATCTTACAACAAACGATTGATAGATTGATACATATATACCATCAAAACAGTGTACATCACTGTCACAACAGCGTTTGTTTTCATTCAAAGGCTTTATGATTTTTCCTATAATGGTGGGCCAGTCTCTAGTAAAAATGCCTGGGCCAACTTTTTGTCCCACTCCAGCCATGTAAGCAGCTCATCTGCAGTCTGGTGTTACCTACATCTTCCTATTCAGAAGGCAGAATTTTTGAGTTCCGAGTACAATCGAAAGCACCACGACTGCAGTTTTCGTGTTGGATGTAAAAAGCGCACATGACGCTATGACGTAGGCTAGAATCATGGCGGCGGTCAATGGCGGTCTAGGCGTGGGATTTCTCTTGTGGAAATATGCAGATTATTTTTTCCTTTCTATTGGTAGGTGGCACAGTGCACTTGTGGCAAGTAAGCAAGCTAGAAGACTGGCAATCTTGCTGGGTATCCAGTTAAAGAAGCAACACATTAACAAGAGAATTCTGAGTAAAACCAAAGTTACTTTCCCTAGTAACTAGTTACTTTGAAAGTAACAAGTAACTTGAAGTAACTGAGTTACTTTTGATAGAACTAGTAATGTAACTAAGTTACTAATTTAAAAGTAACTTACCCAACACTAACTGTTTTACTTCTCTCCTAACCTCCCTCCATATATATTGAAGTCTAATAAGGGTTTGGCAAACACTAAATGGATCAGCTGACAGGCTGCATGCATCTCTTAGCTCCTGTATCAGGCCTTTGCTGGATTTCTTTTCAATTTCTTAAGGACTTGACTTTCAGATTGTCAGGGGGCCGAGTGGCCTGTACTGAACAGGACTCAGGTGCAGAAACCCAGAGCAGAGACAGCAGATGATGTAACAATTTATTAGGCTTAAGTGCAAAAAAAGAAAACGTAGCAAAGACAAAAAAACAATAAGACGTGGAGTTTGACGAGGCGTGGCCTTGGGAACGTGGCTAGGGCGAGGGAATGAGGCCTGAGATGCAGAGTGGAGCTGAGCAGGGAACAGTCACGCTTAAGAGAGAAGATAGAGTTAGGGAGGTAGTGGAGACAGCTCTGAAGTGGCCAGTTGTAAGAGTAGCAATTCTTACTTGCAGTAGGGGACATGGAGTGTTGAGAGGGGGGTGATGAGAATCCAGGGGAAGCGGAGTGGCGTGGAAAGGCTGGCCTGAGATCCGGGGCTTCAGATGGAGTGTGATGGCAGGAGGGCAAGCAGGTGAGGCACAGAGAGATTTTCAAAATGATTGCTTGGTATCCTGAGTCCAGAGGTGGAGCATGAGCCAAGGTGAATACAGCAACTGCAGCACAAGAGAGTCTTGTTAACAAGATAGAGCACAGCAAGAACTTGAAGTATAAGGCCTGTTACCAACATGTGTTGATGACGAACTGGCAGTGAATGAACATAAATGTGTGGTTTAAATCCCTCTGGCTTGATTGCCTGCAATAGGCTCCAGGTGTGCAGGAGCTGGAGTTGGCCCTGCCCAGGGGCGGATCCCAGGTCAGTTCAGGAGCCTTATGGAAATTCCAGCCACCCACCGCAGACCATGACACAGATACTGTTCAGTTGCTGTAGATAGTTTTTTAAGCCTGCCACTTCTTCTTTTCTTTTTTTTTGACCTTTTACAGTTTTTTATTGACAGATACTGTAAAGAAACAACAAGAAAGCAGAGGGAGAAAGAGAGAGGGGAAGATATGCGGCAAAGGGCCATGTGTTGGACTCAAACCCAGGTTGGCCACTCTCAGCCATATGGCATGTAGTTGAATTCAACCAGCGCCCCCTGCCACTTCTACTTTTGTCCTCGTTTCAGTTTCCTCAAATATTTTTAGAACACACTGTACACCATGTTGAGATACTATATGACAAGTTTTCAGCTAATAACTAACTACTACTTTATGCCTGTCAGACTTCATTATCTTTGCCATTTGTATTACTTAACTATAGAAATAGGAATAAATTAAGTAATTTTGCAACAGAACACTAGCAACAACCTGCCTGAAGAGGCAATTTAAAATTTGCTCTTTGCTAAGTTGTCTGTTACATGTGGAAACAAGACTGGTTTATTTCTTGTGTTTGTTGCCTTTTTGTGCGATTCATAAGTCAGTATTAAATGGCTTAACAATTAAAAATAACTAAATAAAACAAACATTCCTCTGAAAATGGTCCGGTACAAGAGCTGGACTGACAATGACGACAAGCAGCCAAACCTACAAAAGACCTTCAGAAAGCCTGGAGAAGTATTGCTGAATACTTCTCCAACAAATGAAAAGAAAGTCTGGCTCCTTGGAAGCAAAATATGAAGAAATGAGGAGTGGGTCGAGACTTTAGCACAATACTTTGGATTTTAGTAGCGAGGGAAGGAATTGTTTGCACTTGAAGATAACCTAAACTAGAGTATTTCAGGTTGTGTTATAGCTTAAGTGCTTCTAATAGAATATATAAAGTAGCTAAATATGCTTAGCTATTTTACAGAGACACTTGCAGCATACCATTAGCTCGTGTGGATCCCACTTCAGGAAAGGAATTGATGGAAGCTGCAAGGTATTGTGGGGCTTAACGTAACATAAAAAGACTCCTTCTTTTCATTCATTATAATGAGGGGTAAAGATGAATAGATATGATGATGCTGGTAATGACAGCATCTCTCAGTAAGAGGGAAGAGGATATTCATGCACTCAACATTAGACTTTCTAATGGCTTAAGAGTTATCCTTTGGCATTTCAAGCAGCATAAAAAGGCAATGAGCTGCTGGGATGTTCACTATAATTTCCTTCTCCTTACCACTGTGTCTCTATCTTCAGTAACAAAGAATATGTTTACTTTACAGTCCCCAATGGTGAGTTTTGAATATGTCACAGTG